TGTAAGAAAACTATAATTATTGTCATTTAATTATTATGGGTTGAAACTTTGTCAACCCATAGTCTGGCAGCACCGTTTGTCGAAATTTAAGTTTTGCGAAAAATATTTTAATTATTATTGCATTTCAATTTTGTGATCTTTTTTGCACATTGTTTTTTTTGTGATCTTTTACTGATATAAAATGAGGTGCGCCAGGAATGGTACATCTATACTACTCATATGTGTTACAATATAACATTTAACACATTGAACACTATCTTCGTTAAGCGATATTGATATTTGACACTTAGGGCACACCGTAATATTACAACACTTTAGTTTAAACAATATTTGTCGATTAGTAATAAACACGCACACGTATTTATCAAACGAATGAAAACACTGAACCTCTATAATTTATGTAATACATTTTAAAGATTAATGTTTCTTACAATAAACTTGGTCTGTAGATATTAAATTACAAATAATAAAACTATATTTACCTATTTAATTCATCTCTTTACAATATTTATATTTCAAATATAGGTACTAATATAGACATATATTAAATAACTTATGGCTTGCAATAAAAAAAAGAAATCTAATAGCTGTTTAAGAGATCCCAAGAGGTATTTGTTATTAGATCTATATATTTACATTTTGTTATTTTCTATTAATTAAATTATGTTTATATGTTATAGGTATTTGAAAGTGTTCTGAATTGGGTGAAATATGAATTAGGTTGTAGAAAACAATTTTTGCCAGATTTGATGGAACATGTGAGATTGCCATTAACTTCAACACAGTACCTATTGAAAAATGTATCCGAAGAGCCTCTCCTTAAAAATAATCCTAAATGTATGTTTTTCTATAAATTAAAATTTTATTGTACATTGTGTATGATATATTTATAATATTTTTAGGTAAAGATTATTTACTTGAAGCTTTAAATTTTCATTCCCTCAAGTCACAAAAAATAATGACCATACCAAAAACTATTCGATGTAAACCTAGGCAGTCTGGTGGTTTACAAAAAGTATGTTTCTGTTTTGATAAATTTACCTTTATAGTTATTTCATAAATTTATTTCTTCCAGGTTATCCTTACGTTTAGTGTCTCGCAGCAAATGGATTCTAGTATGGCTACTAAAAAATGCGATGTTGGTGTTGGAGTTCTAAACAATCTTTTATACGCGGTAAAAAAATAATATTTATTAAAATTAAATTTTATTCAGTTGTATCATTTGTATAGGTAGGAGGATTTGATAGGTCTACAAATGAATATTTAAATTCAGTTGAATGTTATGATCCCATTCTTGGCACATCGAAACTAGTAGCACCAATGTCCAAACGCCGCTCTCGTCCTGGTATTGGAGTCTTAGATGGTGTTATGTATGCTGTCGGAGGAGAACACGGTACAGGACGTTATTATAAATCTGTTGAGGCCTATAGAGCAAGTGTAGGCGTATGGACTTCTGTTGCTGATATGCCCTTTGCAACCTATTCTAGTAACTATAATATTTATATTTAAGAAGAACATATTTGAAAAAATGTATTAAATATTAAATTTTTTTGATATAGATAAAGTTTTCGTTTTGGACGGGTTGCTTTATGTTCTGGGTCATGAAAAATCCATTAATATGCTAATAATACAACAGTATAATCCCAACACTAATGAATGGAAATCAACGAAAACCTGTATAAAAGATACGGAATTTATCTTTACTGTAGTTGCCGTTGAAAGACCATCACTTTTTAAGACTGATTAGCATAATGACCATGATTGGTAGTTACAATCAAAGTTGGTCACTAACTAGTTAGAAAGTTACTTTTTAAGTAACTTTCTTACTTAACTAGTTAGATTTAATTTATATTAACTTTGTAACTTCATTTGTTGAATTTATTGTGTAAAAAAGTCTAATCCAACTGGTTAGAAAAAAAACTAACTATAGTTATTATTATTATTATTATTATTATTTTTTTTTCATTCCAAAATAAATATTTTAATTTTGATTAATATTCTGTTATATATTTTTTTTTATTTTGTTTCACCCTTTATGTTTGATTAACTGGTAACTGATATACCAATTAATTTAAATTATTACTTACCTAATTAGAACATTTTGATCAAATCACTATGTGTTTAATTCAATTTTTCAGTTTTGATCAATAATTTAAGTTAGGCAACTTATTATTTACATTTCAACAAAAAGGTTTTTAATCTATAAATAAACTAATTTTGTTTTCACCAAACTAACTTCTAACTAAGTTAGAAATATAGACAGTTTCAGAAACTAACTTATATTCTAACTTATGTTAGTTACTTTTTTTATTAAAGTAACTTAACTTCAACTAGTTGAAAAAAATGACTAACTTGCCCAGCTTTGTAGAATATATATAGGTAATACCAATGCGGTGTATGGTGTGTTCAGGAATTTGCAACCCCTTATGTAAAAAAGGTGCAAACCTAAACTGGGCCCACGAATAGGTTTTTTGTTGTTCACTCAGCCCGGAAATATTAGGTAATAAAATAGGTCGGTTGTAAACGCAGCTCGGAAATTTAAAATAACAAAAAAGGACGTTTGTAAACTAGGGCCGATAATTATTTTGACCAATAAAATATAATAAGAACGATATAATTTAATCTAATAATAAATGGTTCTCAAATATATTATACATATTATATTATTATTCGGGTTGAGTTTATACCTAAATTATTTTTACCTGAAAAAACAGGGGCCGAATTTACAATAGACCTTTTGAACCTTTTTTTTTCGTCTGTCCGAGTTTACAATCGCCCAAAAAAAGTAGGATTTCACCCGTTATCCCAAAAATGGTACCTACATTAGGAATATTGTTATTGGTTATATAATATTAACTATTATTTTTTGTTTTTTCTTGTCTGATAACTGATAAGAGGAGAAGGGTGATGACCTATGAATTAGAACATTTAAGAGACAAATTTAGTGACGAATCTATTATTGACAACATTATATAACAATTAGATTTTCATATTTGCAGTAGTTGTCCTGTAATTATCGTTTGTAATCGAATTATGATGTAGTCGTGAGGGACTTGTGCTTAAACTGTAGATAAGTCGTTTAATTACATAAATAATAATAACACTAATAAAAGTACTCGCAACACCATGCTTCGTCATACAATATTACAGTAATTGACTGATTCACGAAACACGATGAATTTACATAATATACCTAGTATTAAATATAAATACAGTCTAGTCGCCATAACTCGAACCTCGATAACTTGAAAAACTTTACAACTCGAATTGTGTTTTATTCCCCTAGAAAATGTTTCCACTATAAATTTGTTAAATATCTCGAAAAATACATATCTTGAAGTGAATTTTTATCCCCCTTCGAGTTATCACGACTCGACTCTATATAGGTATTATTTATATCGCTTTTTAAAAGAACACATCTTGAAATCAAAATGACCGAGAAAAAAGGTTGGGATTGGATCATTTTACCACTTACAAGAAAATTCTATTGTACCTACTAGTATAACTTATATAATATAATACCTATATTGTTATAATTGATATGTCGTCAATTTATGTGAAACATCATTCAATTCTATTTAACAAAATGCTCTATACTTAATACATTTTATTTAATGCCCCATCGTAATATGGAAGTTTCACTGTATTTACCATATTATCGGCCAACTAGAATATTATGGGGGAAATAATATTATTTGCTAAATACAATAGACATAAAATATAAAAAAAGAAGGCTATTAGACCACAATTTTCGACGTAAACCGATATATTCGATGATGATCGATGTAATCGCATACAATTCGCTGGTAATACGCACATCTCCCATATATATATTTAACGGGGCGTGTGAAAAGCGTTTTCCGTCAATAGTTATTAAATCATAAGCAAAAATCGTACTCTTATACGCTTATATACATGTATACCTATATACGCGTAAGATCGGTCGGTCGCCGGCGTAATATCTAAACGCGATTGTGAGGTGAACGAACCGATTTCGAGGAAAAAGCGCATATAAACGGCTTTAAAAAGACGTTAACTACACGTTCCGAGCACGAACGGCTTGCGAAAAGACGAAACGGTAGGAGAAAACGAAAAAAATCGGCAAAAAAGTCCGGCCGGGAGCGTATTTTTCGATCGACATCGCGACCGCTTCGGACGGCGCACGAATATAAACCGCACACCGGCGGCTTCGAGAGATCGCGAGCTACGCGAATCAAGTATAAAAAAGGCGAAAAGGCTCGAAAGTGATCGAAATCGTGTAAATAAAGCTAAATTTCCCAATAATTTCAAAAATCGGAAAATTGATAAGAAAAGAGGTGATAACGCGGCCGCGACGTTTTAAAACCGACTGCCGCCGCGACGAAGGTACGCGATTGGTCGCGCTACAAGGAATCGTCGGGGATGGGCCGGCGGGCTGGGGAAACTGAGTGGTGCTTCATTTTTTACGCAACGGTTTCACTATAGCCGGCGTTTTCCGTTCCACTGGTGATGTGGCCTTAGACAGCTGTTCTCGTAGTCAGCTGTTGTTCATTTTGTAGTACAGGATAGGATAGGATAGGATAGGTATAAAGGATATAATATTAAAAACATTGAAAGATAATTAATGTTATGTTATTTCAGTATATTTAATTAATTGTCTTCAGTGTTTTTTTCTTTTTGATGAGATAATTAAGGAACATATTGATAAACAACATCCACGTCAACATAATCAAACGCTTACAGAATAAAAAGTTACATTGAACGTTTCGTATCGTTGCACATCGGTATGGACCATTTGATGTAGTACTTAAGAGGCCGCTACACGTCTATTTGTTGTCTCCGTCTTACAAATGCATAACCTAGAAATTGTGTATATAATACCTACCTATTATTATTATTATATTATTATTTTAACAACGAGAGATACTCAACAGGTACCTGTTAAAGTTATAATTAACAAGACGTCCGGACGCTGGTTCGCTGGTTGATAGCGAAAAACTCGAACAAACGACGTTGTCAACATGAATACCCAGGACACACCAAACAACTTTAACTCCGATGGTGAGGACAACGACAAGTGAGTATTTACCTATTTAATATTGATAATCATGGGTTGATTTTTCAACTTTTCTGTTGAAAGAGTGCGTTTTTTGGGTTCAAATTTCGTCTACTGAACATTGCTAGTCATCCGAGTTGTTGGTTCTGTGTATTTTTTACTTAGAAGGTGGAATTACTCTCCTCCTGAGTGCCTATGTAGTGGCACCTGGCAAGAGTGGTGTAAAGACCTCGCTTTTGTACTTTTGTAATTTGATGTTTAATTGTAAATATTATATTTTTGAGTTTTAGTTTGGGAAATACATAGAAAAAAAAAATAATCTAATATTTAATAATAATCTCATTAATCGTGATTAGCTTTAAATATTTAATCACTTAAATTGATTCTTGTCAACATTTGAAGTTTCATTGTTAGATACCTGTTATTTTATTTATTTTGTATGGCTACTGAACCCCATGTTATCAATTTTTACAATTTACATTAATTTTATAATTTTTACTAGATCCTATAAATAATTGTACACTGTATAAGAGAATAATTAATATTTCATATTATCGATTTATTTATGGTTTCAATAGTTTTTTTAAGTGATCCAGAATGGCCAAACTCTAAACATAACAACAAAAATGAATAAGTAATTGTATTGAATTTCATTCAAATCTTTATTATAGTCCTAACAGGCAAGTAATTTCAAATGCAGTTGTTCAACGACGTGTTCAAGATAGAAGGGTTCTTACTATCCGTATGTATAAAATATATTTGTTCTTATATTTTTGAACATAAAATTACTGTTGGCATAATTTAAACTTCTTGAAAACATAAATTAATCCATATTTCTAATGAAATTTAGCCCCAGCACTTCAATTCGAAATACACTTACACCAATGTTTAACTGCATCATACAAGGTAATTTAACTTTCATTGTCTATCAATAAAAACATTTAAAAGCGTTTAAAAAAAAAAAATTATCTTATACACAGCTTGATTTTATTGAATACTAATTATACTAATAACACTTATATTATTAGAACATAAATCTATCAAACAGTGTTTAAGAAGACATGATACTTGCATGTGTTGTTTCCGTCTTACAAGTGCATAACATAGCAAATGTTACGCTCAGCAGAACACTTGTAGCTAAAATTTTAAATTGTTTGTACATCTTAAAATACTTATAACTTGCTTTAAAATTAAAATATAATAAAAAGCCCACTGGGTTACCTAAATAATAATCTTACATTTCATTTTATTTTATGTGAGGTCAATTCACTTTAATTTTTAAACTAACGGTGCTACATAGTACACATTTTCTGCTGAGCGAAAATTTGGCATGTTTTGCACTTATAATTGGAGACAACACATGTGGGTATCAAGTCCTTTTAATAAACTAAAAAAAAAAAAACAAATGTTAAATTGAATTCCTCCAAGTCATCATCTTAAAACGGCGTATAAGATCTATGATTCACACATATCATATAATTCTGAAAATTGTATAGAACATTTATTTTTCTGGATGAAATTGTACCTATATAGTCCCATATTATCAAATATAAATTCTAAAATACTTCATTTTGGGCCAATTTTGGCAGAGATTGTATTTGCAGTCCTAACTCCTGACAAACTATTGATTTATTATTTTTACTCTCTATATAAAATTCTTTCCTATTATTAACATATTGACTATGTGATGTGTACAACATAAATTTAGCATTCAACATCATTCAAAAGTGATAAATTAATCTAATTATTGGTTTCACGTACCTTGTTATTCAATATAATATAACTTGGGTCATGTTAAGATTAATGTATAAGTTTCTTGTTAGTATCTCCTATAAGTTAAATTTCCAATGTGCATTCAAGTTGTAGGTACATACATTTTTTCAGTCTTCAAATTTTTTTTTTAAAACCTAATTTTTCCGGCATAGGGACAAGTATATACCGCCCTCCAATATGATATATTGAACGTGTTAATGTAAAAACTTACCTATGGTAGAAATGTATTTTAATTTATTTTGTAGCCTATAGTAACTTATTGCAATTCTTTTAGTATTGTGGAGCTGGACATGATAAAGCTACTGCACACAAAGTATATAAAGAAGGCGTTCTTCATAAATTACCAATTATTTTTTTAAAGCTAAATTTGATGCCTGGACAAATTTTGCCTATTATAGCTCGTTCTATACATGTTGAACTAATATTAAAATATTCCATATTCCGTAATTCGTCATTTGGAGTTTGCTACAAACTGTAAGACATATATAATTAGTTGTTCATTTATAAATAATAATATAAAATCTTTATTTTTATTAGTAATACAAATGAGCGTACATTTGGAACAATTGCCGAGGTTTATGAACATCCTTTAGAAATAGGAACTTCTCAGCCATTACAAATGAAAGCTATAGGCTATCAGCGGTTTGAAATTTTAAAAGTCAAAACATTTCCTGAAAGGTAACTGATAATTCTAAATTATTTAAAAAAAACATGATTGATTTTGTATAAAATATATAATGTGTATACACTATACAGAGCACAATTGAAGGTATTATAAAATATAATGTACAGATATAATAATATATTTTAATGGATATATTTAAATAGTGCCAGTGGGTATAACAGATAAGAAAGTAAATAGTATTATTTACTCAGTTTAGTAAATACTAAAGTTATGTTACCAGTCAAAGGCCATCATTACATTTAACCTAAAATCATTATTCTTTATACCTAAATAATATTATTAGTAGTTTAGTACATGATCCAGTCCAAAATGTTATAGTTGTGAATCATTTAAATGCTGAAATTAATATAATTTAGAAAATAGACTGTAATTAAAACTGTAATTTAATATTAATTGCTAAATTTTAATTAATTAATAATTAATGATTAACAGATTGTATAATTTATTTTTATTTATTTTAAAGAATCTATTTAAATATATCTATAATTATTAGTCTAAAAAAAAAAAATTAGGGGAGAGAGACTAAGAACGACTTGCACATAACATCACTATAAATAATCAATTGACTAACGCAAAATAGTTTAATTTTTACATGGATCAGGTTATCTATTTCATTATAATTTATCCTTTTTTTCTAGTCATGAACAATCACTTGGTGTGGCTGAAATCAAAATAATTCCAGATATTACATTAACTTATCCGTATAATACATTGTGTTTACATCCAAAGAAACGTAATATTAGTCATGGTGAAATGTAATAATTGTATACAATATTTAATAAAATAGAAATAATTTAAAATTAACATATTAATATTAAGTATGCATATTATGTTTATGTAAGGTTCCGTAAAAGAGACATATGGCAAACTCAGTGGCCAGATTGGGTTTATAAACAGTTTGATGTTTATGAATTGGCATCTCGTCTTTCCAAAAAAATTAAAATGTTGTGTAAGGCTAAATGTTTGAATAATTTTAAATTTTTTAATATGTTATGATATAATATATAATAAATTATAATATATATACAAGTGCCATCCATAGAGTGCCACTCGTTGGCTTATCTAAATGACTGAGCTCGAACAATTTCTCCCATTCTACCGCCTAGTCGCTGTCTTAAATTTCCCCACTCGCTACTCGTGACCAGGTGGAAGTAAGCAGCGACGGTGGCGGCGGCCAGAGTTGACGGCGGCCAGCGTTCGGGAAGGTTTAGTGGTGGGAATGCTCTAGATCTAACGAATTTTGGTCCCAGTGGCACTCTCTCAATGGCACTATTATAATAGTGTTGTAACACTTCTATTAAATTTTAAAATAATTATTTAAAAAGCACACAATGTGACTGAATCAAATTGCATTTAAATTACATTGAGGCTTGTTATGTACCATAAAAAAATATTTGATCAAATTTACAACTGACAATCAAGCATTTTTGTGTATTATTATATTTTAAAGATAAGGATGTAAAAATCTCAGATGATCCATGTTTGTTGTCATTCCAAGTGTTGTATATACTTGATATATTCAGTCAAGAACAAGTAAGTGAGCTGCTTGGTATTGAGTCAACAAACCTACGACTTCAATACGAACTACAATATTGGAATAAAGCTGTAAGAAATATTATAAATTAAAGTAAGAAACTAAGAACAATGGCTTATCGCTTTTTTTATTATAGCAATCATTGCAAAAATACTTGTGTGCTCAATCTGGCTGTAGTGCTCCAGTGTGCAATATGAACAATGTGTTTCCAATGTCTCCTGAAGGACCACAGAGTACTTATTGTAACTCTTGGGGAATAATCCATGAAATGATAACTGTAACCAAACTGGACGATGATTTAGACGTGATATCAGTAGGAAGTCCGTCTACTGAATGCTGCTGGTTCCCTGGGTATAATAAAACATTTTTTTTTTGTTATTAGCCATTACCGTAATTAATTAATTACTTTGCAGATATAAATGGACAGTAATTTTGTGCCCAAATTGTAAAAGCCATTTGGGCTGGAGTTATTTGGCTGATGAAAATTTGACAATAACGCCAAGAGTATTCTATGGATTATCTGTACGCGCCATAACATCTATTAAAGACTAGTTAGTAGCAGACAAAGAAAGACTTGAGGAAAGCCATGATGGAGAAATATTTAAGAAATATTTTGAATTTTCTTTCTTCTTATAACAATTATTTTATACAAGTACAAAGTATGTAAATGAGCTACAAATATATATCATGTTTGCTGTTTAACATACAATTAAAAATATAATTCAAGAATGTTTAGTTTGTAAAAGTAAAATTTAGTTTAAGTTTTAAATATTTTACTCATTTATTGAATCTTATGAACTTTTAGATTATTATTTTATTGTTTATTTCATTATTATCATTTTTATTTACTCAATGATATTAGTACAGAAACATACTTTTGACAACTAATAAAATTAAGATTTTTCTATAAATAACATTATTTATCCATTAAACATTTTTTTTCCTTAATATATTTTTTAATTACTTTTGTATGACAGTATGTCCAATAAAAAATTTAAAAAATACTTTTCATGAAATTATTGATAATTCAAAATTCATACTACTGTAGTACTGTCTACTTATATCCAAACAAAAGTCTACTGAAACGTCTCAAACCAATATTGACATACAGTCAGCAGTTATCGGGTAATGTGTAAAAATACAACACTAAGAAAATGCAAGCATTCCAAAACATTGCTCTAAGGAAGTTAACAAATGAAACTACGTCTCAAATTTTTTTATACGTTCAAACCTAAAACTAAAAACAACAAGTGATGAATCCAAATATTTCTTTAAAAGATTCCACGTATTCGAATCCCCTCACCAAAAATTTGACCTCTGCTACAATACTTGGCCCAATACGCCTAAAGCACATTTGGTGTTGTGATTTGTTATAAAATATATATATATGTATTATGTATATAATAATAATAATAATAAGTTTATTTCTCCAATATATCATATAACAACATAAAATAATATAACAATATAATATAAAATTATAATATAAATTATAATACAATAAAGTTAAGAAAATATATTGACTCACTTCTAAAAAGCTAAAAGCTTGTGCTAAGAAGTGAGAGTTTCTTATAGTATTAAATATTAACAATTAATTAAATATATAACAGTATAAAATCTAATTAAATAAAAGTAGAAATAATGAGAAAATAAAAAAATATATACAAAATTACAATTCATAATTAAGTGTAACATTATCAAACTGGTTTTGCTTAATATATAATTTTAAAGAGTTAATTTTATTAAAATGCATAAGATTTAAATTTAATTTACGACACAACAATGTGCATTTGTAAATAGTACTCTGAGAAGTTACTGTCTTATAAAATATAATAGAATTAAGATTAGAATGACACTTATTTCTAGTATTATAATTATGCTCTATGGTTTTCAAACAATGTCTATATTTATATATAAGTAAAAGCAAAGATCTATAATATAATATTGATATAGGTTGTACATTAAAATCAATATATAACTGTTTTGTTGGATACAAAAAAGGCTTTGAGATAATAAATTTTATTAAACTATTGATAGTATTTAAAGGTGTCAAATAATCTTTATAAGTACCACCCCAAAAGGGCAATCCATAGTAAACTAAGGACTGAACTAATGACATATATATAATTCTCAAATGTTTAAAATCAATATATAAAACAAAAATATAACAACAATATATAATAATTAAGTAACCATAGGAAGTGTCATCAATGGATGGCTCCTTTCATCAAAATAATTGTTACCTGTCATATTTGTTACTTTTAGCCTATATTCTTATTGTATCTAATGATACAGACTGTATATTAGTTGTAAAAAAAAAAATTTAAAAACATACTGTGTTACTAATTAGTAAAATTACTTTAATAGCAATTAATATCATAAACCGACCTCCCATGGCGTGACGGCGGCGGACGACGACGACGACGACGACGACACGGTGGCTAGTAGAGGTACCAGCGTGGACAACGATTCCGCTCCGACGGAACCGACGATGACGACTCGTTACGATGGCAGCGTCGGAGATGACCTTGCCATGGGGTGACTGGTATAGAGATATGCGTGCTAGGAACAAGGACGTCGGTCTCGCTGGACCGGCGAAAACTTGACGGTTTCAGGGCCTGACGACTCGTGACTCCACAGCGGTGGTAATCATTGGACGAGGTGTAGCCAAAGGGCCAACGTCAGGGCGAAAATTACCGAGAGTTGAGGATCGTGCTGCGGTCCGCTGACTCTCGCCTTTTCGTCACTTGTCTGGTGGTCTGCGCCGGTTCCGCAGCACAAAATCTCGATCCACGTCTTGGTCTTCGATGTCCATCGGCCGAGTCGTCACCGTCGACGTATACGACAACTCGCACTAGCCGCCGCTCGTCGCCGTCAACCGTAGACGTTACCGCCGCCATCTCGGTCTGGCCTCTCCGGCTGGGCGTGCCAGTGACATTCATCGTGAGAACGAGAAAAAAATTGTTCACATTAGGATATTATAACTTAAGTTAGGTAATTAGTAGAGAAAATGTAGATCGGTACAGGCAATTTAAGGGTTCAAACCTCCTCTAAATGTTTTTAAACAATATTTTTTTTCGACATGCGGCATTTTTATTTTATTTTTAAAATATTATATTGCTTAAGCTACTCGACTATATTTACGTTGGCGGCGCGTTCCACACAATACATTATATTATTTATGACCCTTGTACAGATTATGTACCTATGCCATATCCTCAGGTTAGGTTTTTTAAGTTATTTCATGATTTATATCGCAGTTTTATTCATGTCTAGTGTTTGATGGTTTAAATATTTCTTGGAACATAATATATTATAATACTCTTGTAAAATGTAGCGTTATACTCAGAGTGCAGATCGATAGTACTCTGCGTTCTTATTTTTTTTTTAATACACATTTTAGATTCTGAGTGGATTAATGAATGTATTGATTTTACAATATGGAGCTGATGCGATGAGGTCGTTGAACTGTCACACTGGTCCGGCAGCGGCGTATACGGTAGTTTTCATCTAGACAACATAATATGCGGGTGCGACCCACCGCATATAACCCATATAAACGAACGATCCGAATATAAGTAACAGGAATGTATGTGCTGAAGATGTTGAAAGAGTATATTATAATATTTTTGTGTAGCTATGCCGCTGCCGACGAAACCAAATAATGGTGAACGAGAATCGACTAGACCATGCTACTGGTACTACTGGTCGGAATTCTTGACATTTTTGTTGTTGACTGTTGTTGGCATTATATTTTGTCGTTTTTATTTTGTTGTTAGTGAACAAAATAAGGCGTAAAAACACGGTTTCGTACTTCAAACAAGTAACTCAGCTCATTCAAGTATTTTGCAGTAAAAATATCGATTATACAAGTTGCCAGGGTTTGAAATCAAAATAAACATTTTCGATTTTAATTTCAATTTTGGCTGCGGATATTGGTTTTTCCTGATTTCAATTTAAAAATAAAATATTGATTTTGTTATTTTATTATTTTTTCATTGAAGCAGAATATTGATTTAATCATAATATGATTTCGATTTTAAATGTATTTTTCTTTTTTTCGAATTTATGTCTATATAATTTTATTATTTCCGATTTTAAATACATTTTTCTTTTTTTATTTTAGTTTTCATTTAAAATTGTTTAAGCTTTTGTTAAGAATAAATAATGTTTTAGTCAACAGCAGCAAAAATTTAAAAGTCTCTAAATTATTTTTTAACTGTAATATAATATATTATATACAATACTATATATTATATAGTATTATATATTATATAGTATTGTATATGGTTATGACTTAAGACCGGATTTAATTCTATTGAAAACACATAAAAATTGCATAATAAATCGCACTATAAAAATTCAAAAGTTATATAAAAAAATTAGATAAATGTTACTTGTTTGAATTAAAATTGATAATTGGATACATTTCCAAATTATATTTATTAAAATAAAACTCCTATTACTTAAAATATGTTTGTACAAAGAAAATCTACGTTCTATGTCTACACTAGTTATTGGTGCATATTTAAAACAATTCAATAAAGTACCTAGGAATTGTGTCTGAATTAACATATTTTTTACATGACATGACTTCATAATAACATTAAATAGTTTTTTATACCCTTCATTTTTTTCAATTACATACATAAATTTGTCTTTAATCTTTTAAACTATCAATCACATTTCCAAATTTTTCAAAATTATTTGCATAGAAAAGTGCAGCATTTAACCATGTTCCCCACCTATTATAGGTTCAGGAGGTAAAGGAACCTGGCATTTCTTTTCTATATTTATTGATTCTCAATGGTGCTTCTAGGAAAGGATTTTCCCCTAAAATAAACGAGACAAGTTACTTTGTATTTAGATTTTAAATACTAAATTTATCACCATTGTTAATTAATCTATTTATGTCAGGATATAGTTCTCGAATTTTCTCTAGAACTCTATTGATTGTGTGTGCAATGTAATATGAATCATTTTTGGGAAAAATATTTTTAATGTTTTTACTGCTTTAATCATGTAAGTACCAGCATCACTAATAAAAAGTACAACTTTTTGTTCAACACCATGAAATATTCTTAACGAAAAATTAATAAACTGACAAATAGTTTCATAATTTCTAGATTCTAGTTGTTTACACGAAACTAAATATGATTTACTAGGCGTCCCATCCAGTGGCGTGGCAAACGATTTTCACACAAGGAGCAAAGATTTTATTCTAACCACCCCACCCACCCAATATTTTATAAGATATATAAAAATAAAAAAAGTACATTTCTTAAAACGCTTGAAGTTAATAACACATATTCATTAGTAGCTTCTAGATTATTTTCTTATTTAAGTAATTTTTTAAGATTCTGAGCTTAGCAAAACAATGTTGGTATCCAAATTTTCTACTTGAGCAATTTTTTTGCTGATAGGAAAGTGAATCTAGTTAGTATTTTTTTTTTTTGGGGGGGGGGGGGGGGTAAAAATAAAAAATTCCTAGTAATTTTCAAAAAAAAAACTTAATTTTAGTAAAAACTAAGAAAAAATTCGATTAAATGGATGTCGCTCTGCTGTACAGTAGGTTACAAGAGGGTCACTGTATAATGGATGTGGTATTAAATTTTAATTCGAAAAACGATTCTGAGCGGTGATGGTTCGTCAATTGTCTGTGTGAATATTTTATATTATATTTATATTGTTATTAGTTATTATTAAAACGGTAGCCGGTAAGTTGAATTAATATAAAAAAATTACAACAAAATAACTAAAATCGTTATTCTTGGTTACTTAATACCTATGTAATTTCCTCAAAATTTGAACATAAAATAACTATAGTTTTATATTTCTCAATTTTTTTATTACAGAATAACCTACTTACATGGAACCTTGTTGTATAAGTTTTCAATCCTTGGATATAATAGTTGAACATTTTATACATTTTTTACTACAATATCATTTTTAAATTTAGAATTTGTTAATATTGTCTAGAATCAATAAATATGTGGCAGTGCATTCTGAAAAATTGTATAGACGGATTTATAGAGGTAAATTCATGAAGCCAAATTCTGACAATCCAATATAATTATCAAGGATAATTTAATTGATTTTGGGAAAATTGATATAATTCCATCTAAATTTGTATTTTCATTGTCTGACTATGTTTTATTAAACAAAGTGAGTAGAAAATATTATTATACTAATACTTAATAAGATTAATTATTCAAATGGCTAACCGGACTTATTGTAATTATTTCAATGATATTTTTTATTGATACTAACAATCGTTCGTAAAGTTTCATTTATTGGTTTATCCAAGATCTCAAATTATAAGATAATCCCATATCTAAATTCATTGAAAGGAAAAAATTATGTAATGGTATGTTTACTTTATGAGTTTATCATCACAATATTTTGAATGGTTAAAAACTATATTTTGTATTCATAGGAATACGATAAAAAACCTGGACAATGAAATAAGCAAGAAGTCGTATTAAAAGAATTACAAAGCGGTGTGTCTCTTAATAATGAAATCCAAAAGTTATTTTAAAATGAAAATCATCTCCTAGATGGAATTCTATTCAGCAGAGAAGATTGAATAGATATAATATCTATTAGTAATAACGTATTATATTTAAAAAATTTAATTACGAATTTTGATATTCATTAATTTTTCAATTATGTATCCCTCACAGCAGTATCTTTCAATGAAACTAATTTAATGAATATTTGTTTTAAATTAAAAAATGTATTAACACTTTAATAAATATTATAAAAAATAGTATTTAAAAGCATTTTAATAAATATAAAATAACTAATATTGAATTACTGTTACATATTTGGTAAATTTATTAAATATAAAACGAACACAATTATTATTGAATGTTAAAATTAATCTTGATTACGTTTTTAACATTTTTTTTTTTAATAACCCACTTTGTATATTATATAAGCAAAGAGCAAATAACAATATAGGTCAGTATTTACTTTTAAGGTAATTTTATATCTGCTGCCTATACCAATACATACTCAAACGGCAAACAAGTCACTTGTTTACATTTAAAATATTCTAGTTTTAGAAAATTTAATGAGTATCAAGCACCGTTTGAATAATATTGAGATAATAGGCTCTATATATTACACTATAATAGATGATCCTGTAAATTCTTATTACACATAATAATTAGCAATTGCCATTATTTGGGTACTTAACTTTTTATTTTTACCATAATCAATACATATATATATACTATCAAACCTTTCATCATTAAATGCAATACTAATAATGCATATAGCAATATTGTATTATAATTTATAACATAGGCACATATACATAGGCGATAGGCATATGACCATCATATAAGGTAATGGTTTCTAAATTATGAAGGTGTGAACAAAATATATTATTTTATATTTTATATTTTGTGTTGTAGGTATAATAATATTATCATTAAGTCTTTACTATTATAATTTATCATGTAGGTACCTACAAAATATTAATGGGAATTGCATATGTCACACGGTATATTGGTAATCTCATTACCAGATACCATTTTCTTAAAAAAATGTGTTATACATTTTTACCAAATTACTAAATTTTTTTAGTAATAATTTTTACCTGATTACTAAATTTTTTAATTATAATTTTTTACCTACTTAATTTTTTTAGCAAAAAACTTAATGATTTTCAAAATATGAAAAAGAACAACATTTTTGAGAAACTTGTCAGCCAAGTGCCAACCTCCTAGTGGTGTTTCTGGGGTTAGGCTAATAGGCTGAATATATATAGGCTAAATACTAAATATTGAAAATAATATATAATGACCCGGGAATCAACTCGTAGGCAGCCGACAAATTTGTCATGATAATATCAGCTATAGTTTTTATCTTATCTAAGCAGTGAGCACAGCACTGAACAACTATATAATAATATATAGTTCAGTGGAGCAAAGTGGAAATGTGTAATCACTGTAATCACATAATCATCACAACAAACGTGTCTAAATAAACTTTATATTTTAGGCAGTGTTAACATACTAGCTATTTTACAGCTAGTTCTAACATTTTTCAGGTGTAATCTAGCTTTCAAAAATGTCAGTATGCAGGTGGCATTAAATATAGCATTATTTATAATGTGTTTAAAGCGTTTCAGAATATTTTTTTTTTTGTTTACCAAAAACCACTGATATCACATAATAGGTATTTCTGCTATCACATTTCTGACTTTGGCAATTGATTGTTCATTATTTGATATTTGAATAATTTCGTTTTGAAATTAGTCAAGATAGACTGACTGCATTATTATTTATTTACCTATCTAATAAAAATGACAGTATTTATATATTATTATATCTGTTTTTAATTATTTTAATTGCATACAAATGGTAATTTCAACTATTTCTATAACAGTGCCAATTTCCTAACAAATTATATAATTTGTACTTAATCATATTTTTTTTGATTCGTAAATTATAACACTGAGCTTGTGCAATTTTTTCTCTTTTTTAGCTTCTTCTGGCATATTTGGAAGGGGAAAAATAAATAGCATAAACTAACTTTTTTTTGTTAATATGGTATTTGCATATTTTAGGTTTTATTTTATGGCAACACTGATTTTAGGCAGACAACCACATTTTTGTTGTTGTTCTCGTTGTTAGACATTATAAATTAACGAATACAGGAATACGGTCATTACGGCTAAAACCTACTTTGAAAACCCTAGTCTGAACAATATTTATTTTAACAATATAGTATTATATACCTACTCATCCACGATAGTACCATTCATTGTTTACTATGAGATTCATTCATTCCGCTCCAACAACACTAGTCGACAGAAGCGTTTTCGATTTCGATTCCATCCACTGCAATAAAATGCTATGAAACACTTCCTTCTGCCGTGTTGAAAACAATAATTACTGTCGTACAAGACGAACATAGAAAAAAACAATGGCCACTCCGGAATCAAGAAGAATAAGGTAAAATGTCGGTTGCAAAAACAGTTGCAGAGTTTATAATATTATAGTCAATAATATTATAATTGTATCTTAGGGCCGTTCTTAAAACTTCCGGTTAAAGTTAACCGACACTTAACCGGCCTAATTCTGCAGGTAATAAAATCTGTTGTCAGTCGGATAGCGTTAACCGACACTTTACCAGACATAGTAAGAACAGCCCTTCATGTATTTTAGTTGTACCTCTTGATTATAGTTATACTCATAATTTATCAGACTTGTTTTAACTGTATGAAGGTTTATAAATCAATTTTAGGTACCTACCTACATTTGCTTCTATGAGTTATTATTATATTTAAAATGTGTCAACATACAACATGTTATTACAAGTTTGTGTAGTTATTATTTTAGTACATAGAAAATTAAAACAAATATTTAATATATATAGTTAATAATATATATATATATTATTTTGTTATGATAGGTATTAAAATAATTATAAGATTTTTGATGCGAAGAAAATAGATAAATAATAATTATATATTACCTTTCTAGCTATCTGTTAATATCATGTTTACCAAGTATATTTCATCAAAATTATTAACACTACAAAAACTTAATTATTTTGATTTTTTACTATTGGTTATTTTACCATGGTTTTAGACTTTCTTCTCAAGACTTACAAAATACACCAAATGCCAATGAAGAAGTAGAAACTAATGTAATACTAAAAATTCCAAACGGTTTATATTACAAGAATTTTGATAAAATGAGAAAGTAATTTTTTATACTTAATTTTATAATAATAAATATATTCATATGTGTTTTTTGATTTTACTAATTACATTTTTCAACTGTAGGAATGAACAATTATGTGATATAAAAATCATTGCCAAAAATGGTGAAGAAATAAGGGCTCATAAAGTTGTTTTGGCAGCCAACAGCAAATATTTTAATATTATGTTTAATAGTCAATTTAAAGAATCCAAAGAATTTGAAATCGAGATTCAGGATTTAGATCCACATGCATTGAGTTTGTTAATAGACTTTATTTATACATCTGAGTTAGCTGTAAATGAACAAAATGTCCAAGTAAATTAATATTTAACTTTTAATTTATAAATATAATTTAATATACATTGTTTTTTTTTTCAAACGTCTTTTAGGAAATTTTAAATGGAATCTGTTTTTTACAATTGGACGAAACAATTCGCAGTGAATGCATTGATTATATTAAATCAGGAATTGATCCCGCCAATTGTTTAGGTATGAAAGAAATGGCTGAACGCCTTGGATTAAGAGATTTTTATACGTTCTCTTTAAGATATGCTTTAGTTCACTTTAGGTAAGTGTACTAAATATTCAACTTTTAAACACTTTTTAAATCCTTTGTCAACACTCAAATTTAGTCTAAATAATTTGAAATTAACATTGAGTATAGAAAATGTTAATTGAAGTAACAGTAGAATGTTTCAAACATTTTTCATAAGAAAAAACACACACATACCCCATTGTAAAGTCGATACTATGCTCAGTCTAAAATGATATTAAATTTTAACTACTATAAAATTAGCAAATTTTCGCTATTTTGAAAAATTTTGTCAAAATTCAACCTTCAAAACCCACAAAATGACTGTAGATTTACTCTCAACTTTTATTTTATTTTCTTAATAATTTATGAGAAACCATGTATTACATTTTCAAGCTTTTTAACCTAGCATACATTTTTTTATCAATATTTCATACCTTAGGTTAAGACTGCTACAACTCATAACTTGATAGAAAAACATTTTAAATTTCAATAAATAGCTCAAAAAGAGTCAACATATTTTGAAAATTATTCCATATGCAAAATCCAATTGCAAATTTAAATATTTATTGAAGTTCCAAACTATTTATGATTATTTGTTTTTGAATTACAGCAAAATAACAAAATCAATGTTTTCAAAAACTATTACCATTAAATAAAAGTTCACATTTTCCCTATAATTTATTTTTCTTGAATAATTAAGAAAGGTACTGTACATTTTTTGCTTTGGACTTTTCAATTTCAACTCAATAACCTTCATGTTGTTTTGGATTTTATTTAGTTCTAACTTAATTTTTAAATTTTTAATTACTGTTACTTACGTCTTCACAAGTATTTAAAAATATTTTATAAACTTTTCTTATAAATGTACAGCATTATCTATAAACTTCTTTATCTACAATCATTTTACAGTCAAGTATACAAAAAAGAAGAATTTCTGCTGATTACTTTTGATCAAATATTACAAATCATTAAAAGTGAAGATCTGTGTGCAAATGAAGAAAACGTAAGTACATTATTTTATTATTGTGTATTTTAACTGAACATTTTCCTTTATTTAAATTTTTAAATTTTGTGATTGTAGTAAACATGATGTATACAATTTTATATAATAGATCAATAAATAATTACATAGTTATGACAACAATAAATAATGTTCAAATTATTAATAGGTATATGAATCTGTAATGAAATGGATCAAGTATGATATAGAAAATCGGAATAAACATTTGCCAGACTTAATGGAATATGTTCAGTCTCGAAAATTTGCAAATTACTTTTCAGTTAGAAATTAATAAAACATTTTCAAATGTAAGTGATGAAAATAAAATGTCGAAATTTGTAAATTATATTGTAGTTAAAAATTAAAAAATGTATAAAATGATAATTTTTTTTAGTTAAAGATTGAAAAATTAAATCATAGTTATTCATAAGTAATTGATATTGTAACCCAAATCTTTAAAAATATATTCACACAGTTTTTTTTATAAATATTTTAAGTTCAAATTTGAACAAAATTAGATATGTACCTACATAAACGAAAAATAATGTTTTTAGTTATTTTTTTGTAATTTAAAAATATTATTCGTAGGTACATAAAACTTTTAAAGTATAACAAATTGAATGTTTTCGACAAAGTAAATTTAACGTACTGTCACTTGTCAGTAAAAATTACTTTAATAGCAATATTATAAAATATACTTATACTAATACTTATAGGCGGTCTTCACTCTTCGTTCAGTTTCGGTTTTCTTGTACAATGATTTTATATCATTGAATTGAAACTTAACACAATATTCATTAAAATTACCCATCCGACATATAATGAACGGTAGAGCGGTACCCACTATTGCCACCCTTTTTTTTACATTAGTACTTCATTAATTCTATAGTATATTATGTACATATGTATGATAAAAATTAATACCCATACACCCACCCACCCAAAATTTGGAGGAGCGGTTGCTCCTCTAGACCCCTTTTACCACGCCACTGGTCCCATCTAATTTACCAATTAATAAATTTGCAATAACCAAACCTAAACCAAAATAGTATATTTAATTATAATATGAGAAATTAAAAAAATATTTTGAGCAAACCTCTTGGATCGGTTGTCTCAACAACAAGTATGGTATTATCCATATCGGATAATACCGACGATAATACAATTATGTATATGTATTGATAATGCCTTTTAATAATGGCTCTATGGTACAACCACAGAATATCTACTCACGACAAAAAACTCAGTATGTCATAAACTCATAATAGAGTTTTATACAATAAATTTAGCTGAGTTAATATTTTGTTAATTTAAACACACAAAAATTGTAAAAAAATTCCAAAAACGTGGAACATTACAAAAATGCATTAAAAAAATAAATGGGCATTACACATAAAGTATATAATATTGACTATACACTTTGATCAGATTGGTTTATCTTAACTGCAAAAAAAGTTGCAATGTAAATTAAATCCGGTCTTTAGTTATGACGATTATAATATTCATCAAACATAAATGCCAAAAATACTGGATTCTTTAATAATAGCACTTCAAGTTGTTTCATAGATTTCAAAATTTGTTTAGCTAACATTGAACAATTAGACTGGAGACTATTGGGTACTTTAAGCCATACTCCAGAGAAGTCAAATAAAAGTCTTTTTGTCATAAGTTTTACCATGCTAATTCTAGAGTCTAGGTATGAAGTGTACTCCGATTGTTATATTAAAGTACTTATCTATGGCTAATTTTATTCTGTATACTACTGTACAATAATTGATACCAGCTAATAAGTTATTAGATATTTATTTAAAATAAAAAACTTACAATGCTTTGAATAGAGTCCATTCACTTTTTTTTTAAATTTGAATTCCGTATTAGTGCTATATGGGTTTGGCAAAACCTTTCAGCTCTTATAATCTGAACTAACATCTTGTTACCATATCTATTTATATATTTGAGGTTTTTTCTTTTTAGTTTTGGCATACTTTGAAGTTATTAATTTCTTCACCACCTGGTTTTGTAAAATAGGTAAATTAAAAACATAAAAGAATAATCATAAGTATAATCATCAAACCAAAAATAAATTTACTATGTTAAACTTTTGAAATTATACTTGAACACTTGTTATTGTGTGCATGTTTAAAACCCATCCAGAATACATAGTTGCAAGGTATGCACCGCACATCGCACATATGAAGTTATGGTTGCAGGACACATAAAGCATCCAGCACATCGTCTTCAAAATGGTAGCTATGGTAGCTTCATCTGTCAATTTAAAACATGAATTTTATTTATTATAGAAGATAAACAGTAATTTCACCAACATATTTGGTTTTATGGTTTACTGCTATAGCGTGTTTAAGTCCTTGTAGCAATATGATAGCTACCTACTCTGTATTATGTTAAATTTTTAACATAATATAGGTACCTAACAATATTTATATTTCTTAAATACGTTTAATAACTAATCAATGGTAAATTAGTTTGTTAGGTTTTTGCATAAAAATTTTAATTAATATAGGTTAGCAGTACTTGATATTTCAATTTAAAAAAATGTTCATATTTTCATAATGTTTTTTGTAAAACAGATTATTTTAATGAGTATACCTGTATTAAATAAATTGATTAAAAGTTCATTCTCAATATCTTCATTATATAATGGTGTTCCATCAAGAAGGTGTTCATTGTCACTGTCTATCTGGGTCTTCATTATCAACATCTTCATTATTGATTTCTGGAATATAATCATTAACCTCATCACTTGAATCTAAAAAATAATTTAGAATATCATTGACAGTAATTATTCTAGCCATATTTATCATATTTGCAGCATTGTCACAAGTTATTGTGTAAATTTGTTCTCTAGTAATTTCATACTTATTTCACAAGCACATGAAGAAGCTATAAAAAAAAAAGCAACACAAATTAAATTATATCTATATTATTAAATTATTATAGTTCAAAAACAAATACATATAATTTTATTTTTACAGATTCTTTTAAATTTTCTGCTGTATGCTTTTCAAAATATTCTACCATTGCTAATGTTTTCAAAATAATTTAAACCATTTTAATATATTGAATATTAATATTAATTATACCCGATATTGAACGATTATGGCGTTTAATAGAGCCAATCTTTAAACTTATTAGGTGCTTTCTAATATAATGTTTAATACATGTAATAATCACATTTGATGCATTAAAAATATGATTTTTAATATTTTGAGAGTTAAAGGTAAATTATAAATTTTTGAACAAAATGTTCACACCATAAACATCATAATAATTCATTTATCCAAAAGATCCATAAATTGTATGTGTTTAGGACACCACCAATCAGTACAATTCTAATAACATACAAGTTATAAAGTTGATATCTAAGTTCTTTTAGAAGAATACATTATATTATTTCTTAGTTTAATGATCCTTCAATGATGTTTTCCAAAATGATTATATCATCTTACAATTTTAAATTTGGCATTTTAGACAAAACAAGATTTTGTAGAAAAGTAATATTTGACTACAATGGCTATAAATCATCTTTTTTTACATAATTATTACATAATTGCAATTTTTAGTAGATGAGGATGTTGATCCATGATGAGTTTTTGCATCTGAAAATAAAGGATTTTTTTTATTTTATTATTTACTAAATTTATTTTTAGCGATTTCCTGTCACTTGTCAGTGGTATCTTTCACCTGAATAGGGGCCAAATTCTGTCTGAATAATTCCCTAAAAAAATAACACTGCATATTTTAGATTCTGAGTGGAGCAATAAATGTAGGGGAAACATGTTTAAGACTAGTTTTTTATAACTTTTGTTAAGCATAAACACTTTTTTTAAATCAACATAATTTTCTTTATATGCCTTTTCTTGTATTTTAAATGTTACCTAATAATATGCTGTTATAAATAAATTGTGTAAATTCCTTTAAAATATGTACCTATGTATATTATTTTCAGTTTTTACAAACCTGTCGTAAAGATTTCATTTCTTTTATGGCTCCTTTAAATGAGGATTTGAAAAATTCCAACTCATTCATTCCACCTTCCCTGTTGATAATCAAATATTCACAGCATAAATTCCAAGATCTAACTTCTATTATTATTATTTTTTGTATACCTAAAATAATTTATAGAATTTATTTTGAGTCAAGCGGCTATGCAATAATATACTTTAATATTTTCAAATAAGATTAAAATATCATAAGATACTAGTCTACATTTAAAAATAACTACTCATCATGACAAATTGATGCTAGTCATTGAAAGACTAAACATACTTTAGGAATAAAAATATAATAATAACTAAAATTTGTTCACAGTTGAAAATGATTTATTTGTTACTTCCCCAGAGTAAATTTTGAGTTCTGAATATATTCAGGAATTAGCATATCGAAATTCATATTAATCAGGTGATTATTTTACTATATCGCAACTCCCAGAATTTCAGCTTTTACATTTTTTACATTTTAGTACATGATTTGTATATTGCTCCAATTAAATATAAAATTGTAAATTATAAATTTATATTATATTTATATTAATATTTGTAAAATATACTTAATTACATTTGATTAATGCAGTCATTTTTATTCAGCCAAACAATTCCAAAATATTATTAACATCTTATTTATTATTTATTTATGTATAATAAACGGGTAAAGACCCTTTTGTGTAAGCAATAACAGGTTTAAACATTTAAGTATTTACAGTTAACAATAAACAACTCGATTTAATACAATAATAATAATGAAACTAACAATTCAAAATAATAATAATTAGACAAGTTTAAATAATGAAACAATAATAATACAATAGGAGACAACCAGTAAATCAATAATAATATAATTATAGAATATTACTTAATTTACAACATCGTTTAAGACTAAATATACATTTCTTTTGAAAATATTTTGTGACATAAAGAAAAAATCTACATGATCGACAATAAGATTTGCTAGATTTAATGCTCTAGGAAAGTAAGAAGTGGAGCTATAATTATTAATATAAAATGGAACATGAAAAAAGTTTGATTTTCTTAAATAGTGATTTGCTTTATTAAATTCAATCATAAAGAGCAAATCTGGGGAAAATTGTGACCATTTAACAAATCGTATATAAACATAATATCAGCAACCTTTCTTCTTACTTCACAAGATACAAAGCTCAATTCACTCTTTCCCATATTGTACAAGTTCTTTGAAATAACTGGAATATTCAATTTGTAACACAATAGCTTTAAGAATTTAAGTTGTACATTTTAAATTATATTAATGAAGTGATGTAACTAGGTGACCAGACTATTGATCCAAACTCAAGAAAAAAATAAAGTTTTCAAGGCATTTATATTTTTAAAATTAACTGTGTTTCTGTTGATGAAGCCAAGCATCTTAAAGGATTTTTTAGTAATAGTATTAATGTGAGTAGTGAAAGACAAATTGTAATCAATAATAATCCATAAATCTCTAATAGGAGTTGTTCTTGTAACGGAACAATTATAAATTTTGTAATCAAAGCTAATAGGATTATCGATGTGTGAAAAAGTAATAACATTACATTTGTTTATATTTAGAGATAATCTATTTTGGTGAGTCCATGTTACAAACTTATCCAAGTTAGCTTGCAAATTTAAAGCATCTGATGGAGAATAAATTGTAGAAAGCCTTTTTTGCGTCATCAGCAAATAGCAGTATATCAACAGTGTTATCAAAAATAGAGGGCAAATCATTAATGAACATTATGAATAAAAGAGGTCCTAAATGGGAACCTTGAGGTACACCAGAACTTACTAAGAAGTAGGGAGAGACACTATGTGATACTTTAATCGCTTGAGTTCGACAGTTTAAATAGGACCATAACCAATTTAAAAAGTGTCCATGAATACCAAATGTAGATATTTTTTTAAGAAGTAAGTGATGTTGAACCTTATCGAAAGCTTTCTGGAAGTCAGTATAGATTGAACCTAACTGAACACGATTATTTAAGGCTTTAAGTATTTTGGATTGGTAAAGTAGGATGTTAGTGGAGATTGACATTTTACGTCTGAAACCATGTTGGTTTTTACAAATAAGAGGAAAGACAATTATGGAAAGTTTTTTAGTTATTATAGCTACAAATATTTTGGGAATAATGGACAATTTGAAAATTGGCCTGTAATTAGCAATATTATGTCTGTCCCCTGCCTTATGAATTGGGGACACAAACGATTTTTTCCAAGAATCCGGAAAATGGCCCAGATTCAGTGACTTGTTGAAAATAAAATACAGTGGTTTAACGAGGACAGAACTACAATTTTTTAAAAATGCTGATGGTATACTGGAATGTCACGTAATCCATTATTACAGGATTCACAAAAGTATATAAATTAAGAGTTTTTAAAGAAAGACATTTTAATTCGCTCGGTGATTGGCCGGTGAATTTAGTATGGAATACTGAAATGCATCCATCACATTTAACAGGCGTATCCAGTTCGGCAAACAAAACAGAACACAATGAACAGTTTTGAATATTATTAGACATCATAGATATGAATTAAAATTTAATATTAATTAGAGAAAACCGTAGCAGCAATAACACTATCAAGAAAAACACAACATTACTGCGTGACTGCACAATGATAACTTATTTAGTGTTATATGATAAAAAAAAAAAAAAAAACAAAAATATACAACATAATCTGAACTACAGTTCTGAATTATATGGAATTGAATCATTTTGAACACAACTTAAGGCCAATCATATTTTATTCATACAAATATTAAGTTCTTCTAATATTAACATAGATAAAATATATTGTATGGTTTTCATTTCTTGAAAATACAACTACATATTATAAAAGCCCAAAAATATAAGGTATTATTTATCAGTATTAAATAAATATATATTATCACCATTAAGATTAACCATAATTTAATGGCAAAGTCTATTATTATTTCTTATAAAAAGGTGTTGTCCCTTAAAAATCAGGAAAAAATGAATTAAGACAAAAAAATATTGGAAAAATTTAAATTATATAAACAATAATAATATTATATCCTATACTGGCATAATTTGATAACTGATCAATGCATGACTTCATGCATGTTATAGTTATTAAACAATCTCCGATAGATCTTTTGATAATTAGAATTAATGAAAAATAAAATTTAAATTTGTTTGCAAATTTTTTCAAATATTTCAAATATATTATATGGATAGTTGAGTAGAAATTATATTTGATTTCTAAACTTGTTATGTTATATTCCCGATATTATCAGATGATTAAAACAACTTGTCCTATAATAATACTTGAAACAGAATAGATGACTTAGGTATTTTGTAAAGGCTATTATAATGATAATTTATAGATTAATATTTATCAGTTTTATTATGTTTCAAAAATTAATCAGGAAGTTGGTCTAACAAATATTACCTGCGCTATTACTGATATGCTACATATTATACATATAGCACCTTAATCGGGAGGAAATCTGGAGTTGGCCATACATTTGTTTGTAACTATAGTATTAACACTGCAATTGTACAAATATTTCAAAAGTTTTGTTGTCGTTTACGCTTCTTAATCGTAGCATCCAGTATTGGTTGGCGCTTTGTTTGATAACGACGTCGTAGCTCATCAATTTCATGTTCCATTTCAGAATCCAAATTGGACATTCTTTGTTGTAAGTCATCAAAGCTTAAAAACTTCAACTATATAATAAAAATTAAAAAGGTAATATTAGATGGCCTAAAACTGTTTGAAAAGCGAAAAAAAATTATAATTTTTAATTGACATTTGCGATAGATTTGTTATTTTTAATTTAATAATTCATCAAATATAAATGAGAATAGACACTTTCTATCACATTATCTCTTATGACGGTCTGCCACTGCAATTACTTAACTATAATATTTAACCAGAGGAATTAATATTAATTGAATTCTCGAGTAAAATTCAATTTTTAAAATAAGGTCTCTAAATTATTACTAACATATCAATAAAACTTACAAAACCAAAGTCTCCGTCAGCGATTTGTTTGTAGTATTGGTTTTGGTGAAGAGCTGTAGGTAGATTAACATCAGGTCTGCAATTTATTTGCGGCATTGGACATTGATTTAAAGTTATAGTTTTTTCAGATTCGTCAATCTATAAGAAGTGGTATTAGATATATTTTCAAGATGAAAATTTATAATATAGATTACTTGAGAAACATCTTGAGCAGAATCTAGTCCATCACCAAAAAATTTGTTTCCCACATTAAAATAATCGTTCTAAATTAATAGTTGAAAAAAAAAATTAATATAAAATATACCATAAATAACTATCGAGTAAAAAATAGGAGCTACAAGTATAATATTTAATGCAAATTAAAGATGCTAGTTATTAATAATTACTTTAGATTTTACTGCAATTTTTTTATGAATATGATCTAAGTACATAGGTCTATACTTTTTACCAAAAGGTTTTATTGATTCTTCAGGTCCTGTATCATGCCCTAGAACACCAAACATATTAAAACAAAACAATCAACTGTTTTCAATCATATATATTTGATGCACATACGCTTCATTGTGGAATCATCTTCTCCATCACTATTAATTACCATTGTTCTCAATTCTTCTACTAATGAATTACTTTTTAAACTTGTCCCTTTTGATTTATCCGGTACAAGGGTACTATCATCTACTATCATTGTAAGACTGTCAATATCATCTTCCTACGTAGACAAATAATTAAAAATATATATCCACTTAATTACAACATTTACTCATCCAAGGCAATTACTTTAGAGTTTTGATCTTTGGATTCAGCTGATTTGACTAAACTTGATGCATTAGAACGGAGAATTTGATTTTCTCTTGCTTCAGTAATCATTTGACTTAAAATTTCTGGTGGCTTTGGGTTACCTAATTTTTAACAAGAAAAATCAAACTATAAGAAATAAAGCACTTAATTGATTATAAAATTTTTATATATTAAATAATAAAAATGTATTATCTTATTACGAATAAATTCATGATTTAACATTTTTGAGGATGTTGGTCGTTCCGCTGGATTTTTGATTAGACATTGACTAACAAAATCGATAAATTCTGGGGACCACTTATCTGGTTCTCGAAACGAAGGCGGTGGTTTATTTGGTATTATGAATAAGGCGCGCATTGCATGTATATTACTGTATGGAGGTTTGCCTTCAGCCATTTCCAATGCAGTTATTCCTAATATATTATAATACGACTCATTGTAATTGAAATACTTAATTATTCTTTATTCAAATACTTAATTGGTATGAGTTATTTTTATGAACTAATAACTAATATACCCAAGCTCCATATATCAGCAACACAATCGTATCCTACTTCTAGGATAACTTCAGGTGCCATCCATAATGGAGTTCCTATTAGAGTTAATTTTTTGGCCATTGTATCCTAAATAATAATAATGCATACACTATTTAATGTTCACGCCTATATACATTTAATAAGCACTTACAGTCAGTTGTTTAGCAACCCCAAAATCAGCTAGTTTAGCATGTCCTTCAGAGTTTAACAATATATTTCCAGCTTTAATATCTCTGTGTATTTTTCTCCTTAAATGTAAGTACTCTAGTCCTTTAAGTGTGTCTGACAATATAGTAGCTATTTCGTCCTCTGACAGTGTCTTTTTTCTTAATCTCATGATATCATATACTGAACCAGCACCACAATATTCCATAATAATCTTTACAAAACAGTCAATAATTTAGAAAAAATGTATAATATTAGGTAAATAATAAAAAAAAATGTATTACCCATAAATCAGTATTCCTAAAATATGAGCCATAGTATTTAACTACATAGGGGCTATAGCATTGTTGCATAATGGATATTTCTTTTATAATTTCTTGAAGATCGGTGTCAACCGATACTTGCTTAATAGCAAGTACTTGACCAGAATCTTTGTGCAGCGCTTTAAATACACTTCCATAGGATCTGAGAACAAACAGAAGTTAGGAGGTAGTCTTCAAAAATAATCATAACTATATTACCCTTCTCCAAGTTTACAAATTATGTCAAACACTTCTTCCGGCTGCCTGGTTAAGCTTTCTTCAGACAATTGTTTCAATTCACTATAATAAAAATAAAAATCATGTGTAATTTAACCATTGGGAAACCAACTTTTGATATTTCAGTATTTACCTCTTTGAGGGAATCATCTTGTCAGGAGTCTTGTAATTAACATGGCAGAAATTTAATGCAGATTTCGAGTTCGACATGTAATAAGTAGTTTTGCTATTTCAAACAATACAAAATATATTTATATCTTAGTCCGTGAGTACAGGATAACAATACCTTAATACGTATACTCATTATCCTGGGCTAAGGAAAGACGCATACGGTGGCCGACGAAAACACATTTTTTCGCGCCTAACCTATACCGGTTACATTGTTATTAGTTACAATGGATAACAACGAAAAACAAAGATAACATAACTTAACCTCTAAGTTCTTACGTTGGCAAAAATGCGTTGAAAATCAAAATGTCGAATGCAAACGACAAGCGTGAAGCGAGAGCCGTGGACTTAGTTGAGGGGGGAAGGTCTCGTCACGAACGTTTTAATATTTTTTGATCCGGCGGGAATTCAAACCACGTTCGGACAGACCCACTTGTAGCCTACTACAGCGCCGCCCACTGACACTCTTTCTTATCATCTATTATCTATATTATGTTTTAATATTTCTTAACTTTTAATTAACATGAGTACTTGCTTCTTATATTATTCTCCAGCATTTATAAGTGTAGAGAATCATACAGATACTTGACTTTAACATCCAATTTTAATATAACTATTGACAGGTGTCGTTTTTATATTTATCGTATTTTTGCTTTATTACCAGATATTGAAATTGAATTAAAATCAAAATACATTTTTACTATTATATCTATAATAATCTGTGTGTTGTGCAGTAGTTTTGTTTTGTGACGTAGACATTCACTAAGAAAGGATTTTTCAAAATTCAACCCCTACAAGGGCTAAAGGGGGTAAAAGTGGTAAAAATGAAAAAAATCACCTAGCCGGAACCGGAAGCTATGAGTATGAAATTATTCTAATTTCTTGGATTTCAAACAAATAAATTAGATACTCAAGATCATGACCCTGTTGAATTTGATCATTGTTGTCTTAAAAACTATAGGTTTGAAATAAATGGAATAAGTTATCCTGCAGAACGTCAAGATGAAGATTTTAAGAATAATAAATTTTGCCAATCTTATGATGATGCAATGGCTTATAAATTAACTTATCATAAAAATAATCAAGAACTTCCATTGATGTATAATGATCCAATTGATTTTAAGGAATATAGATCAATATTTCTAACTAAAACAGTTTATCAACCAATAAATATTTCTGCAAATAAAAAAAATATTATTTTACATATTGAAGATTTACCTAAAGAAACAATTTGTTATATTTTTTTCCTAAGAGAAGATGAATTTTTGTTTGATATTGAAAAATGAACTATTGGAGACATTTTTAGTGGTTCAAATATAATATTAATGGTATAACTAATATAAAAATATAAATAAAAAGAGGTAGGATACCTTTATATCCTAGTGACTATATCAAAAACATATTTATTACCTTTTTGATCTATAATATCTATTTATATTTCTTGAAAATGTCCTTTAACTGGTGTGTACATTATTGAGTTATTTTTTTTCATTATCATAATCATAATAAAAATTATACAAAATATCTTCCTCGATGTGATTACTATCCTTAACAGATGAAAAAGATTTTTCAATTATATTGAAATGTACATCTAATAATCGTTTATTTATATTATTATTATTTAAGACTTCTACAATGTGTTTATATAAAAAATACATTTTATCAATCCCTAAACTTGTTTTAAAATGTTGATCCATCAAAAAATCAGTTTTTGAAGTAAATGTAATACAATTATTATCATTTTGTAATTTAATATCTGATGGTAATATACTATTCAATTGATCAATTGAATAGTTTCCCTTTATCATAGTTTTAATTTTATTACTTCGACTCGTTATAAAACCATTAAAGTATTTAAAATAAACCTTGTATATAAAAATTTATGGAAATCTTTAAATAATCATCCATATCATAATTATGCTAGTTAGTATCAATAATTAATTAATTTTTTTCATCAATTATTGTAAGTATTATATCATCGTTTCTATCAGCATTCAATATTGCTTCTAATTCATCTATTGAATAAAATATACCAATAGGTATTTTATAAATTTTATTTGAATTTACATCTTCATTATATATTATAATTTGACATTCTTTCTCTATATTTATATATTATTCATAGGAAGTAGGAACATACATTGCTGAATTATTAATAGTTAATAAAAAATCAATTGTTTTTTTTTTTGATAGCCTAAATCATTTTTTAAATTTTCATCTAAATTATAATAACAAGGAGATTTTATTTCAAATTTTTTATTAACATAAGATAACACTAAAGGTTTAAATAGTTTGTTTAACTCATTAATACTATATTCTCCTTTTTTATTTCTATAAATTTATCATTAATTTGTAGTTTACAATCTGTTTCAATATAAAACCAATTTAACCCTTTTATAAATTTTGAATCCAGACCTACCGTATAATTATAATTATTATTATAATATTTGTTTGATAAATAATTACAACCGTTTGTAACTATTATAAATACCATTTATAAAAGTAATTATATATATTTATTTATGAAAATTGTATCAATTGCATTGTGTTTCCTTTATCTAAATTTTGCAATATATTATAAATAAGATTAAATTTAGTTTTCGAATTTTGATTATATTATGAAATATTTTCTTTTGTGAACACATCTAAAAATCTATCTGGTAAAAATACTTGAATTTTTTTATCTAATACAACAACTATTGTCTTACCATAAATTGTATCAATATAATATATAATAAAAAAATATTATTTGAAACGAGTAACCTCATATTTTTTTCCTTTTTCTAAGTCACATACTTTTACGAATTTTATCATTGCAATCATTTAAATGTGTTTTCAAATTTTCCATTTATATTATTTATTATAAGAGAAATGTATTTTTATTTTTAATCATGTATTTAAATTATATTTATTTCTAAATAACATAACATGTTTACAAGTTAACAAGATGTTGTTTTGTTAACAAGTCTACAAGTAACTTAAATTCGTAACTTTCATATTTCGAGTCAATGCTTCATTCGTGCGATGAAATTATTCGGCGCATTCGAGTTGGATAACAATTATTATTTAACACTAGTTAGTAGTTGAGGCCTCATTTTTTCGTGTACCCTTCCCCTACACTAGTTAGGTACCACCTTTTTCCAGCGCGGTATTAAAGTATATTTGTCCCGTATATTTTTCGGTGAGTACCTACTACGCCTTAGTACTTATACTATGCCAACATTTTCTTTCTTATTTTAACAGACTTCAGATTCAGAGTGTCTATAATCTCTTTAGACTAATATGATAATATATTAAAAATATAGGTACAATAAAAAGATTTAATGTTGTATACATTTTTACAAACACATAAGAGATTTTTTTAAACAGAATTTTATTTTTATGTCTAAGGTTTGATAATTTAAAACAATAAATCTCACACTGTAACCAAATAATCTAAAAAATATATACACACAGTTATTTTTACAGACATTATAAGTTCAAACTTGGAAAAAATTACATGTTAAAAATCAAGAATTACGATTTTGGTTGTTTAGTTGTAAATTAATAAAAAAAAAAAAAAAAAAAACATCAACATTTTTTGGGTTGAGACAAATCTTTATGGTGTTCAAACTAATTCAACCTGAAATAAAAAAAAAAATATATTACATAATATTATTAAAATATTATATTAAATATATATAGGTAGTAATTTATTAAAAAAAGAAAAGAAAAAGGTTTATATTATGTTCCACACTTGACTTATTAAAATAATTTCAATCAAATATTTACCAGGATGGAATATTGTTGTTTGAAGATGTACAATATCAAATAACATCTACTTGACAGGTGTATTGTCATATTCTATTGCTTTTCATTGTCTGCCGTAGCACCATTAAGATCCATTTTTTCCATTGACATATCGGCCAAATTCAACCGAGCGTTTAAATGGTCGTTTGGACTTAACTTGATTGCCATTTCATAATATACTTTGGCTTGTTCGACAAGGCCACGTTCATTAAATATTACTCCCATATCGCAATATGCATCGGGAAAGTCTGGCTTTATTGCTATTGCATGTTTGTATCTGTGGAAAAATGAATTATATGATTAATACTGAAAAGATTTCACGAATTGTCCATTACAGAATTCATAATAATATAAAACAATGTTCTTTGTAAGTTTAAACATATTTCCGAGATTAGAGAATTTAGCCTATAATTCATATTTAAGAATATTCTTGTTCTTAATAAAGAATTAATTTTTAGTTGTAAATTACTAAGTATTTAGTTGCAAGAGAAAAAAAATGTTTTTAAATTAAAAATCAAAAATTATAGAAGTTGGTCAATAACTTGTTTGTTGTTAAATTAGAAGTATTGTTTTAAAGTTGACTGATTTTAAATAGTTTACCAAAGAAAAACCTACATTACATATTATTTTCAAGTTTAAGCATACTATTAAATGGTAAATGTAAATATTTTAAATTTATTTTAAGTTGAAATTAAACGTCTTATACGTATTATACATATGTTTCTTATTGTAACATGTATATACATTAATAAGGTCATTGAAGTAAAAGGAAATCGTATTTTCTGAAAATATTACCAATAAAAAGGATTATTTAGACATATTTTTAGAGGGTCTTTTTATAGCTTTTTTAAACTTATAGTTGTGTTGATTAATTATTACTTTTTAAGAGCCAAATCGTGATGTCCCAGTTTATACAATGCTAGGCCCATTTTCCAATGACCAAATTCATTCCTCGGGTTCATAAGTACCGCACAACAGAATGAGTTTCTTGCATTTTCATAATCATCCTTTTCCAGATACAAATCCCCCATGGACATGCAAGCATCGGACGCATTTAAATGATCTTTAGTTTTTTTGTATGCATCAAAAAGCTTTTCGTATACGTCAATTCTATCCGGATTTAATTGGCTACATTTTGTAAGATAAAATATAGCGTCTTTGTAATTTTTAATATTATTTAAATATACTAATGCGAGTTCCAAATGTAGATCAAAGCCCTCTGGCTTTAGATGTATACACTTTTTGTATGTTTC